TATATATACGGCTCTTGTTTCCCTTCGACAGTTTTTAAGCTCGTTTCCTTTTGCTTTTTTCTTTATGATTGCAAAGATATTGAATGCCTTAGTACGTAATAATTAGGACTTGTTTGAAGGTTCGAACATGCCTTACTCTCGATATTATTTTGTTTAAGACTCGTGGGGGCTCAGTATGTCTGGAAGATTTTCCCAAAGTACTTAGAATATTTTAGATTATAATTTGCCGAGGGTAGCCTTTTGAACCAGTTTAGAAATTTTGAAGGCCTTGTTTTTTGTTACGAGTCTCGGACGTCTCTGAGTCATTTTAATACGATCGTAGCCTTTCTAATTCGGGTGTTTCCCAGTGGGCTTGTTACACCGAGTCATCCGGACTTAACCGAGATAACCTTTCCCGAATGGGGGTGGCCGTAGCCTTTAAAATTCGGGCACTGCCAAATAAGCTTTGTGCCCCCGGACTTTATTATCCCGGGCTGTCCGAACCTGCCTTGGGCGAAAGTCCCCAAGTGAGGTGGCCCTGGGGCTCTATGTCTTCGGGGGATCAAATGTATGAAACAAAAATTTTCAAGGGGCAAAATATTTATCCGCAAGGTAGAAACTTCCTTTCAATTTTGTGCGTAACATACAAAGTTACACATGTGCTGTTCAAGCTTTATGTCCGGGCTTGGGTGGTCTATGTGGGCACAATTCATTCGACCATTTGGCCCTTACAGTCAATCCTATCGATCGAGCCTAGACTATTCGAGCACAAAGTTTCTTTCCTTGCCAAAATTATTTTTCAAGGGTGATGCCCCCCAGTGTTCGAGGTAGATCATAGAGAAGCCTCGGATACTGTTGACAATCGATCTTCGATTCTAAGTTCGTACGATCCACTGGTGCCTTGTTAAAAACCATGCCGGAAAATACATTTGGGACAAAACCGGTTCAAGGGAAAAAGAGTGCAACGCGTGCTTCCAGGCCTAAAAAATTATATCGTTCTTTGACAGTTACCTGCAAGTGTTAGTCCAAAATGTAAATAAATAAAAGCAGTAAATGGGGTCATACCTTAGCAGTAATATATCTTCAAGTGAGTTACGTTTCAGTTTTTCGGTAGTCGCTCACTGTTCATTGCTCCGAGTTTGTACGACCCTTTTACCGGTGATCTCGATAATTTGATACGGACCTTTCCAGTTTGGTCCCAGCTTTCCTTCATTCGGGTTTCGAGTGTTTAATGTGACCTTACTCAACACTAAGTCCCCAACATTGAAGTGTCAAAGGTTGGCTCTTCGATTTTAATACCTCTCGATCCGTTATTTTTTGGGCTACCATCCGGACGAGGGCGGCTTCGTACCTTTCATCTAACAGTTCCATGCTCGTATTCATAGTCTCGTTGTTTGATTCTTCGGTTGTGTATCGCAACCTGAATCGGTTCTTCGACATCGACCGGTATTAGAGCTTCGGCGCCGTAAACCAACGAGAATGGGGTGGCTCCGGTACTGGACTTCGAGGTCGTACGGTAAGCCCATAGGACTTCGGGCAAGATTTCTTTCCATATTCCTTTGGCTTCGTTCAATCTCTTTCTGAGGTTTTGGAGTACGGTTTTGTTCGTGGACTCTGGTTACCTGTTCCCAGGGCTGGCTATTCGATCCCAAACCCGCCCAGAGATTAATAGGTTGGGCTACAACATTTTAGCTCATGGGTTAATTTGGGATGAGCCCAAGTTAACCCATTATTTTTTGTAGCCCATTCTGACTCATAAAGTAGCCCAAATATAACCCATGAAGTTCACCCCAAAATAAAGGGATCTCAACCCAACTTATCTAGAAATTTACTTAGTTACCCTATCCCACCCCCACTCCCACGGTGGGCACCAAACTATTTACCCTCAAAATCGGATAACAATTAAATTTGTAGGTGATTTTAAGGATACGCGGATTAATTTGATACAAGCGATAAATTAAGTTGCTATTGAATAAACAAAGACAAATAAATTCAAGCAGCACAAGTTGCATAGTTTCAGCCTTAACGAAATAGCCACTCTCGAGCCGAGATAACTGAGACCGTTATAGATGAAAAAGAACAAGAGCTGAAGAAAAAAAAAATATAATTTCTTTTGAGTGCGTGTTACAATGTCTTTCATAAATTAGCAGACCCCCTTTATATGGTAGGGGAGTCCTATTTTAGGTACAACTCTATAAAAAGTAAAAAAATCTTTTGATTAACTGATTGCCGGTTCTTTATCGATACGTGCCGAGATCCCTGCCGTAATATTTGGCCAGTCACGGATATTTCAGCCTTCTGTTGGTTATGTTAGATTGTCTGACAATGTTCTTCGATGTCGTTCGAGTCTAGGACCGATTCTGAGACCATGGCCTCGATATTCTCGAAGGCAGACGCCATGCCCTCGGGTTCTGTCCTAATGGGACTTTAACTCGATTTCGGTCCCTTGTTGCAATGTCTCGAACCTGGCTTATTTTATCGGAGGTTAGGATGCACCATGAGCTCGATTTCACCCATATACGAACTTTCTTTAATATTGGCTTTAAGGGTAGGCTTAAAATTGCTAGGCCCATAACTAATGCAGGGCTTGCTAGTACCAAAGCTGCTGTCACACATACCTGAGAAGTCTTATTGACATATTTGATCAATTGATCTCTCTAGCAACCCTTATTTCTTGGATTTCAAAACTGCAATACCAACCAATATTCATCATTAGTTCACTTGAAATTTTGTTTGTTGAGGTCGGAGAAGGGGTTGTTGTGGAATAAAAGATCGAATAATTATTGGAACAATTATCAATAGTGTCAAGGACTTGTTCGACGAATAGTCATATTGGACTTTATTGCTTTTAAGAATATGGCTACAGAATTTTGATGCTTCTGAACTTATACTGAAGTAATTGGAAAGAAGGGGTTCTAATTAAATCATACTTTTCCCCTGAAAAAATAATTGGTTCAAGAATGGTTGTAATGGTCCCTGGAAAAATAGTTGATTCAAGAATGGTTCATTTACTAGTAACTGTGTTTTTGAAAAGAAATCGCCATAAGTTTTTGTTCTTATTGGTCCAGGATACTCTTCTTACCTGGAACATAAAATAGCTCCTTTTTATTGACTATCAAGATTTAAATAGAGAAGTACTTGAAGCGAATATAAACATGTACAATTTGTAATCTTTTACATATATGCACATCTTATATTGATTATAGCTAGTAATAAGAAAACTTTCAAAAAGGAAAAAAAGAAGAAATATAAGCCTGGGAAATATTAGTTAGTTAGGGATAAGAATCGCGAATTTATTTTGTGTAAACTTAAACATGAAATTAGCAAAATTCATGATTACCATGAGGAGTAGATGGAAAATATAGTTTCTGAAGAATTAACTAAAACTTTTCCGTGATTAAGTTGTTACGAGTGTCATCTTTCTTGGACAATAAAATCAAAGGGCGTAAGATCTTCTTCTTGTTTCATCCCTCATTCCAATTGTATAGCTCAATAATTTGTCAAACGAACTTGGGATTAAATAAATAGTAATTTAGAAAACTAGATAATTTTGGGATACAATAACGAAAAACACCATTCATGTAAGTAAACTAAACGAACCTTTAATAGTTTATAAAGTTCTATCTTCTGCCATCATCTTCAAGTCTTCAAGCTAGAAAATAAGAAGTAATTAATTGGGTATGTATTCTTTAGGCTATGAAGAAGGACCAGCTCCAGAAACTTACTTCCATATATGCGTGAAATAATGAAAATTAAGAACTAATTGTGAGACCCAAGCAAGTGCTTTCTTTCCTTATAAAACCTTATAAGCAAATTAAAGGAGATAATATATAATTAGAGAGGGGCTGCCAAAAAGAGCCAAGTCCGAGGTTGTCTTTCTTGCTTGAATAGTGAACCATCCTTTTTAAAGCCCACTTACAAGAAAGACAGTTTTTAATTTGTGATGATGATAAGTTTAATGCATTCACTTGATAGAATTAACTAAGAGGGATTGAAGTTATCAAACCACTCCTAGAGACACTTCCTGTGGACAATTGCGGGACCAGATTCATCATACTCGGCCTTCACTATCCACATCTGCACAACAAGTAGAAGTTAGTTCTGATCCCTCGAGCTTAAAGAAGACATTCACAATTAGAACAATTTATTTGGGAATGAGACGCGGTTGATTGAATGACTGATCAGTCAACTAAAGCAAAAAGAAACTAACTTGTTGGAAAGTACTGAGGGAAGCTAGAATTGATCCTCCTATCCGAGCGCTGTACTTTCTCTCGGGCGGTGCAATCACCTTGATCTTCATGCGGCTTGGAGAGAGAGCAGAGATTTCCTTGCTCATACGTTCCGCTATGCCCGGAAACATAGTAGATCCACCAGTAAGAACAATGTTAGAAAATAAATATTTCCTAATATCAACGTCACACCATCGCCGGAATCAAGAACAATACCTTGTTGAAAATAACAAAAAAAATTAGTGACTGACTAAAACAGTGGTATTATTCTTACCAGTTGTACGACCATTAGCAAACAGAGAAAGAATGGCCGGAATTGCAATATACATGGCTGGAATATTGAATTTCTCAAAAATGATTTGAGTCATTTTCTCTCGGTTTGCTTTGGGGTTACGTGGTGCCTCAGTCAGCAGAACGGGATGCTCCCATGGATCAACACGGAGTTCATTGCAAAATGTGTGATGCCAGATTTTCTCCGTATCATCCCAATTGCTTACTATGCCATGTTTAATTGGATATTTCGAAGTCAAAATACCTCTTCTCCGCTGAGCTTCATAACCAACATAAGCATCTTTTTGTCCCATTCCAGGCATGATGCCAGTGTGACGAGGACGACCAACTATACTTTCGAAAACTGCCCTTGGAGAATCATCCCCAGCAAAACCGGCCTAAAGAAACAAACAACAAAATAGTTACGTATTATTCATTCGTATGTCACATGCCCTGAAATTGCAAGCAGTTTGTTCTAACTAACCTTGCTCAATTTAGTTCCATTGTCAATAACAAGTGGTCGAGTATCCTTCCCATCAGCCATCTTGTAAGGACTTCAAATTTTTATTTTGCAAAGTATAATATTGAAAGAAGAGAGTAGGAGAATTGTAGAAATTTTCTGTGTATATTTCTCTTTACAATGTAATCTATATATACAAAAAAATGGAATCTAGTCTAAACAAACTTTGCCAAGTGGCACTATTTTACTAGTCTATTCCTAACAGCTTTTGTAACAAACAAAAGGAATATTTACAAAGAATAATCCTATCTACTATGTAAGATATCTGTTTGTATCTTCTGGGCTATTCCATAATTTGGGCCGATGAAATCACTGAAATTTGAAGGCCCACTTAATATAAAACCAAGTCCAAGACAAAAAGAGAATCCAGCCCGTTTATCCATCACACATAATTTGTATCGATCATAAGTCTTTTAGTTTGTGAGACTTATGGTCTGAAACTTGGTCTCTTTTCTTTAGGCGGCTTAGGTCTTTATCTTCTTCTTTAACATACCCTAAAATCCTTGAACTTTCTTCTTCATTCTTCTTCTTCTGAGATGAACCATGAGAGATCATTATCTGAAATTCCATTATCTCAGTATCCCCCCTCAAGTTGGAAGGGACGAAAGTAACACCCATCTTGCGAAGAGCAGAGTTATGAGCTGGTCCTGATAGAGATTTGGTGAAGGGATCGGCGAGCTGTGAAGAGGAAGGAATGTGTGAGAGTGAAATTAGACCGGAAAGGTACTGTTGTCGGACGAAATGACAGTCTAATTCCCCGTGCTTTGTCCTTTTGTGGAATACTGGATTCCGGGCAATATGAATGGCCGATTTGCTATCAGAGAGAACGGGAACATGCAAAGATGGAGATACAGACAAATCTTCAAGTAATCGAATGAGCCATGTCAATTTAGCAACAACCCTACGCATGGATCTATATTCCGCTTCAGCGGAAGATAAAGAAATTGAAGCTTGCTTCTTCGATTTCCATGAAATGGGTGACCTTCCTAGAGCGATGTAAAACCCACTGACAGAACGCCGGGACTCAGGGCAAGAAGCCCAGCCGGCATCACAAAAAGCCACAAGCTTGAGAGAGGGATCTGAGTTCAAAATAATACCTTGTCCGGGATCTGAACGGAGGTATCTTAGAACTCGAATGGCTGCCATGTAGTGAGAAAGACAAGGACTTTGCATGTATTGGCTGAGTTTAAGGACAGCAAAGGACAAGTCTGGTCTAGTGTGAGTGAGATAATTTAGCTTCCCAACAAGATGACGGAATACAGTAGGATTGGAGATTAGAGGTCCTTCATTAGCACTAAGCTTTGAAGATGGTTCAAGAGGGGAAGAAAAACAAGGTGAATTCGAGACATCAAATTCATGCAATAAGTCCAAGGTAAATTTCCTTTGACACATAATAATTCCTTGCGCTTCCCTGAGAATTTCCATTCCTAGGAAAAATACAGATTTCCCAAATCTTTAACTTTGAACTCTGTGCTAAGAAATGATTTAAGTGCTGAAATTTCTTGAGAATCATTACCACTGATAAGAATGTCGTCGACATACACTGCGACAATAGAAGTTAGATTCCCAGTACGTTTAAAGAATAGGGAGTAGTCATTCATAGAGGAAGAATAGCCTTTGAAACTTAATGCACCTGCAAGTCGAGCATATCATTACCATGAAGCTTGCTTTAATCCATAGAGAGATTTTTTGAGTAGACAGACATGGTTAGGGCTTGGGGAAGGCATTCCAGAAGGAAATTTCATGTAGACTTCCTCTTGTAAATCTCCATGTAAGAAAGCATTGCTTACATCTAATTGATAGATTGGCCAGTCCTTCTTTGCTGCTATTGCCAATAAGCATCTGATAGTGGTCATTTTGACCACTGGTGAGAATGTGTCTGTATAATCTATTCCTTCCCTTTGAATATCTCCCCTAACTACTAATCTAGCCTTGAGTCTCTCTATTGAACCATCTAATTTATGCTTGACTTTGTAAACCCATTTGCAAGGCAATGCCTTATTTCCTTTAGGTAATAGTACCACATCCCAAGTATGGTTCTCTTGTAGAACTGCAATTTCTGAGTCCATAGCCTTTTGCCAACCAGGATGCATAGAGACTTGAGAATAATTAACAGGCTCTTGTACTTCTAAAATGGACTTCATGATGTATTGATTATGTGCTGACAAAGCTCCAAAAGAGTAAACATTAGGCTTAGTAGGTTGTTTTAGACAAGAATCAGTAAATTGAGTGAGAAAGATGTTATTACAAATGTAATCCTTGAAATGGCTTGGCCATTGAGTTTCTCTACCAGATCTCCTAGGTGCAGGTGGTGTTAAGACATGGTCATAAGAATTGCTCCTAGGTGAATGAGGGCTAGATGAGGGATTGTTTCTAGATGAATGAACATTCTGAGGTGGTTGGAAACTAGCTGGAATTACAGAAGAGGGAAAACTCTCGGTACTGCTGCTAGGACTAGGTGAACTGGAGTCATGAGGTAGCTGTTCACTAGAGGGAATTGGGAATGTGTATTTAGTGAAGGGGAAATTGGTGGAGATGTAGGGTAGGCAGTATCCATTAGAGAAGATGTGGGAAATATAGAGTCTGGAGAAGAGGGAGCAGGATTAGTAACTAAAGGATACTTATCCTCAACAAAGTGAACATCTCTAGATACCACAATCTTTCCGGTGTCTAATTCCAACAGTTTGTATCCCTTCTGTCCTAGAGGATATCCCAAAAACATACAAGCTTTTGCTCTAGGGTAAAACTTACTTCTTCCATTAGACAAGGTAGACACATAGCAACCAAAACTCTTGAGTTGATTATAGGATGTAGGTTGGTTAAACAGTACATAAAAAGGTATCTGTCCCTTGAGAACTTTGGAAAGTAACCTGTTCATCAAATAAGTAGCTATTAGTACACATTCTCCCCAATAGGCAATAGGAATATGTGATTGAAATAATAGAGCTCTTGCAATATCCAGGAGATGCCTGTGCTTCCTTTCAACTATTCCATTTTGTTGAGGGGTTGCTACACAACTTGTTTGATGAAGAATTCCCTGTGAAGAGAGGAAGGCAGATTCTTGACTGCCTCTCCCAAGTTCAAATGCATTATCTGTTCTTAGCTTTTGCACCTTGACTCCAAACTGCCTTTCAACCATGACTAAGAAATTTTTCAAAACCCCAAATGCATTACTCTTTGTGCTCAATAGAAATGTCCAAGTTCCTCTATTGTAATCATCCACAACAGTTAAAAAATACTTATATCCATTATAAGTAGGGACCTTGTAGAGACCCCAAACATCAACATGTATTAATTCAAATGCTATTTTTGTTTTGATTTGATTTAGAGGGAATGGGGATCTAGTTTGTCTAGCTTTAGGACAAACATCACAGAAACATGAAAAATTAGAAGGAAAAGAGATAAAACTGAAGTTTTTCATTGATGAAAAAGGAAAATACCCCAATCTAATGTACCAAAGGTTTATATTAGAAATAGCATTTGCAGAAAAAGGAAAAGGTGCTGAAAACTGAACAGAATCACTATTCTTAAAAGATGTAGCTACACTCTCTTCAGTACTATTCCTAGAGTTGATAACAGTAGGTTCCAATAGGTATAATCCCTCTCTTACTTCACCAAAAACTTGAGCACTCTTCACTAAAGAGGCTTGCAATAGATATTGATTAGAGGAGAATGAGATGATGCAAAGAAATTGTGAACAAAACCTATTAACAGATAACAAATTGTATCTGAAAGTAGGTATATAAAGAACTCTCTCTAGAACATAGTTAGGAAGAATGGATATCTTTCCTATGTGAGTGACTGTTATCCTAGATGAATCAGAAAAATTAATGTGTAGTGACACAGGGAGTGGGGTAAGTGAAATAAAAGCATTTGAATTAAAACATATATGTTCAGAAGCCCCTGAATCTATTATCCAAGTGCTGGAATTAAAAACTGAAAAATAAGATCCAGAGTATTTCACAATTGTAACAGCAACTGTATTTGCATTTACTTCTGAGTTTGAACTTCCTGAATCTGAAACTTTGATCTGCTTTATCAACTGCATCAGTTGAGAGAACTGGTCCTTAGATAAATGATGTTCCAAAGCATGATTGTAATTGTTGCTGGCATCTCCTCCCTGTTCTTCTGAGAAAGCCCCATTACTTCTGATAGGTCCTTGACCTGTCTTCCCATTTGTGAACTCAAAGTTTTTAGAAAAGCCTATAATTCTGTAGCAATTTGCCACTGAGTGTCTTGTTTTCTTGCAGTAGGTACAAGACACATTAGGATTAAACTTTGATTTCTTGGCCTTAGCAGTAGGTAGTTTTGGACTTTGATTCCCAGATCTCTGAAACCCATTTTGGTTCCTTTGAAATTGATTAGTGAGTTTTTGCTTTCCATTTCTCTATGAAAAGTTGTTTTGATTTGAAAAACTCCCATGGCTTCCTACCATGAAAGCTGAAGAATTAGAGGATATTAGGGGGTTAGCATATATCTATCTCTGATTCTCATCTTGAAGAATGAGTGAATAGGTATGGTTGATGCTTGGTAGAGGATTCATCATTAGGATGTTTCCTCTAGCTTGAACATAGGATTCATTCAACCCCATGAGAAATTGAATCAACCTCTCATCCTCTTGTGATTTCTCCAACAATTTCTTTCCATCACATACACGAGCACAGTTACACTTGATATTTGACTTCAAAGAATCCAGCTCATCCCATAAGCGTTTGAGCTTGGTGAAATAAGTTGCTATGTCATTTGTTCCTTGTGATAATCCATGTAATTCCTTCCGTAGGTGATACAGTTTTGCACCATTGGACTGTCCAAATCTGTGTTCAAGACTCATCCACAGATCCAGTACAGATTTTGAATAAATGACACTATCTCCAATGTCTTTGGATAGTGAGTTAAGTAGCCATGAAGTAACCATGTCGTTACATCTACTCCATGGTTGGTGGTCCTTTGAGGTGGCAGCAGGTACTGGACAACTACCATTGATAAATCCCAGCTTATTCTTTGCCGAGAGGGCTATCGGCACAGATCTCCTCCAGCCTTGGAAACCTCTGCCATCGAAGACTGCATTTACTAGACTCATTCCAGGTGCATCTGAGGAATGAAGGAAGTAGGGGTGATTTGGGTCGAAGTTGACTCCATTTCCACCAGTAACTAGAACTACGGAGGTTTCACCAGCATCAGACATGATGAAACAAATGGATTAGTGACAGAAAATCAAGAAAAGAAGACTGGATTTTCCAGAATCGAGCTACTGCTCTGATACCATGAAAGACGAGAGTAGGAGAATTGTAGAAATTTTCTAGTGTATATTTCTCTTTACAATGTAATCTATATATACAAAAGAATGGAATCTAGTTTAAATAAACTTTGTCAAGTGTCACTATTTTACTAGTCTATTCCTAACAGCTTTTGTAACAAACAAAAGGAATATTTACAAAGAATAATCCTATCTACTATGTAAGATATCTGTTTGTATCTTCTGGGCTATTCCATAATTTGGGCCGATGAAATCACTGAAATTTGAAGGCCCACTTAATATAAAACCAAGTCCAAGACAAAAAGAGAGTCCAACCCGTTTATCCATCACATAGTTTGTATCGATCATAAGTCTTTTAGTTTGTGAGACTTATGGTCTGAAACTTGGTCTCTTTTCTTTAGGCGGCTTAGGTCTTTATCTTCTTCAACAGACCCTAAAATCCTTGAACTTTCTTCTTCATTCTTCTTCTTCTGAGATGAACCATGAGAGACCATTATCTGAGATTCCATTATCAATTGTTCATAAAATCAGCTCAGTCAATGAGATAATTTCTTCCTTAATAGTATATTGTTCGGTTCTCCTTTTTATCTCCCTTCAAGCTCAAGGAGAGAGAGATTTTTATATTTCCAGTAAAAGTCATCAGCTATTAGCACATGAACATCCCCTTTATTGTTAAAGGCAAAGAAAACAACAAAGACAATAGATACGACATAGTGATGACAACAAATAGGGGGTTCATGCAAAAACTTGGAGACAGAAGGAATAACAAAGGTCAGCTGGTGCAGTCAGAGTTCATTGAAGATATGTCACTCACGTTAAGGGCCCAAACATAAATTTTCCAAAATCCTTGGGTTGCTTACTTCCCTAACTCACTTTTAGCTCTCAAAATTCTTTTCTTTGGCAAACTATCTCAGTTCTTGTCGTCGCCTTATGTTAAACTTCCCCACTTTTACATTTAGTATAGACCAAAATGCGAGCGAACAGATAAAAGATTTTTAAGTTAAGAAAAGCCAATAGAACGGCAGCCCCAAGACCTCACAGACTGCAATTCTAGCAAAGGGTGATGAACTTTATAAGACACAGAATGTTAGGCACATACTCCTGCTATGAAAATCACCTATAGTAACCTTAAAGAATAAGAAAACTCTACTAACACCATTGCTTGTTG